AAAGAGAAAAATATCATTAGCTACTAAAAATTGAAATTTAAAGTTTAAAGTTTAAAATTATAGTCAACAAAAATTTATTGAATTCACCTATCATGTAGGAATTTAAATTTCAAAGTTTTAAAGCTAACAAAATACACATACTTTAATGAGTTTCTTTCCATAATAAAATTATACTATACATTTTACCTAGCTAATTAATCTTTCTTTCGATGGGAATTACAAAATCCCGTCCTCAAATAAAAAAAACGGGGGGGTAGCTTATATTTCACTAAAACTAACAAAATACACTATATTTCATCGGAGGGTGAATCGTAAAATAACCAGCAAACAGCCCGAAAACTGGCACAAGTACCTCACTTGAACCTAACAAACTTGTAACATCAGGCAGCACCAAAATACGACTCAAGTTTAGAGATTTCAAAGCAAAATTGTGAATCTTGAGACAAAATGAAAATGAGTTATCAAAAGACAAAATTGTTGCATAGCCCCGAAAATTGGCATGAGCACCTCACTTGAGGCTAAACAAACTTGTAGCAACAGACACAACCTTGATAGGACTCACGGTTAGAGATTTAGGAGTAAAGTTGTGAATCTTGACAAAAAACACTGAAAATGACCCTCGGAAAACAAAATTGTCAAATAGCTCCCAGACAGTCCACAAACTGACACGAACACCTAGCTCAAAACTAAACAGATGTGTAGCAATAGGCGACACCTCGATAGGACTCACGGTTAGAATTTTAGAAGAAATTATGACTTTCTCACTGTTAACCTCCAAAGCATCTTCACTCCAGCGAGTATGACAGTTTGTTTTTATCCCCCCAAAAAATTAATAGAGTAGACATTTGCCAATAACAACAAACAACACTATTGTTGTTTAAATTATAAAAAAAATGCATTAGGTCAAGTCTATAGGCTTGTCATTTTATTCAATACATTAACATAGGAATTGAAACCCGCTATCATATACAAAGGGCCAATTACTACTGTATTTCATTAGAAAATTTAAAAAGGAAAAGTAAAAAGTAAGTGAAATATGAATAAAGTATTTTTTTTTTTTTTTTATATCTTATCACAGAATGAAACTCTAACAAAATAGAGTTTAAAAGATTATATTAAGAGATTCAAATAATGTTAGAATGTGAATAGTTTCATTCTACAAGAATTTCCAAAATAGACATTAATGCTGTGTTTGGTTGGAGTTTTTGAGGTGGGATTTGGAAAAGGAATGAGAAATGTAATCCTATTTATGTTTGGTTATAATAAAAAATATATGGGAAAAGAAAGGGGGTGAGAAATAAATAAAGAAATAGGAGACCTTTTAGGACATCAATTCTATTTTATAACCAACACAACCAAACATAGTTGGGATTTGGAATTCTATTAATTCTTTCTCCTTTTCCTTTCATTTCCATTTCCCTTTCCATTTCCCTTCCCAAATCCCCCAACCAAACACAGCGTTATTGTATGTCATATAATATCAACTTGTAAGAAAAAATTATTGAGTTTATTCTATTATTGATAAATTTTAGTGAGTCCATTTCAAATGTCATTATTTTGTTATTGCATGTCATATCAATATCATATCAACTTGTAAGAAAAATTTGTCTGTCAATTTTTTTTTTTAATGTGCTTCCTGTTTTCTTACGATGTAGACAGTGTACAAATTTAGAAAAGTCAATAATGTAATGCTAACTAGAATTACAAATAAAAATTATTTATTAACTTAATTTAATTATGGATAAATTGTGACATAGTCTTTATACTTAGGTCCCTATATTATTTTAGTTCTTATAATTTGAATTGGCTCGATTTTGATCTTGAATTTATGAATTTGTTTCAATTTGATCCAATTGATTACAGCTCCTAACATTTGTTTATGAAAAATATGCATATAAGTAGAATGTGTCATTTTTTTTATAGTAAAATTATAAATTTATTAAATTTAGTGAGTTAACCTCAACCAATTTAGTAATTATTTTCCTAAAAAACATTAACGACATTATTAATTGAACTAAATTGACACAAAATTTAAAATTTATAGTCAAAATTGAGTCAATTAAAAGTGAAAAAACCAAAATAATATAAACGACAAAGCGTAGGGACCACGGTGTAATTTGTCCTTTAATTATCTCATAGTTCATTGGGGGTGTTTGATGTGACTTATTTTGCTCAACTTATAGATTTTAGCTTTAGAAAAATTATTTTAGACTGTTTGGTTAAATTTATTTTAAACATTTTTTTATTCTAATAACTTATTTCAATTTAAAAAGCTATTTAATAGTTTATTTACCAAATACTATTCAACAACTTAAATTTATAATCCAGCAGTTATACCAAATAAATTAACAATTTCTTATTAAAGTTATAATTTATAATCTGTTAAATTTTAATGGGCGAATTACACTAACAGTCCCTATCGTTTGGGGCTCGTGTCACTTTGCTTTTTGACTATCGTTTGGAGCTCGTGTCACTTTGCTTTTTGACTTTTCAATTGTGAAACATTTGATCATGAATTTTGAATATTATTTTAAATAAGGACAATTAAAGATATCATTACTTAATTTCAAGGGCAAAATCATCAATTGGATAAAATATAAACTAATTTGGCAAAAATAAATGTCAACAAAATATTTTTAAAATTTTTAAAATTATTTCTACCTACCAAAAATAAAATTATGTAAAATTGATAAATCTTTTATACATTTATTTATTTATTTATTACCAAATTAATTTTTATTATGTGTTTGAGTGATGATCATGTAATGGATGGTTGTTTTTATTTTCATTAAATTAGTTTCTATTTTTTTAAGAGTTAAATATGATGGCAACTTTGATATCATTATAAAATTAATTCATTAAATTAAAAAATCCAAAACTAAAAAATTTCATATATTAAATATATTGATTACGCATTAAAAGCCTAACAACTACCCATTACACGATCATCATCCAAACACATAATAAAAATTAATTTAGTAAAATAAATATGTATAAAAAATTTATCAATTTTAAATAATTTTATCTTTGGTGGGTAGAAATAATTTTTAAAATTTTAAAATATTTTTTTGACATTTATTTTTGTCAAATTAGTTTATATTTTATTAAATTGACGATTTAACCCTTAAAATTGAACAATGATATCTTCAATTGTCCTTATTGAAACAAGATTCAAAATTTAGGGTCAAATGTGTCACAATTGAAAAGTTAGGGACAGTACAAGAAAAGTGGGCTTAAAAGATGAAATTTTTTGATGTGACTTTTTGCGATGGCACAACTTGCTGTCGCGAAAAAATAGAGTATTTGCGACGGCAGAAAACGCTGTCATGAAAAAGGAAAGTATTTGCGACGGTAGAAATTGCTGTCGCAAAAAAAAGGAGAGCATTTGCAACGACAGAGATTGTTGTCGCAAAAAAATAAAGTTTTTGTGACGACACCAGCTGCAGTCGCAAAAAAAAAAAAGTGAGTTTTTTGCAACTGTAATAAGTACCGTTGCAAAAAAAAAAAGTAAAAAAAAAATATTGTGGTTTTGAGACGGCTTCATATATATATAGTCACAAAATGGTTTAAATAAATGCAATGGTATTTTTTTGTCACAAAAAAAAATTAAACAACGATGTTGTCTTACTCTTTTGATATAACATTTCTCTTTTTACCCATTTTTTCATCTTCTTGTCTTTCTATCTTTGTTTCTGTCTCTCTTCTCTTTCTCTCTCTCACTCATCACTCTTCTCTGTCTGTCTGTCTGCCTTTCTCTCTATATCTCTCGCTTATCTCTCTTCTCTCTCTGTCTGTCTCGTTCATCTCTCTTCTCTCTATCTCTCTCGTTCATCTCTCTCTGTCCCTCTCTCGTTTATCTCTTTTCGCTCTTTCTCTTTCTCTCTCTCTCTCTCTCTTTTGCTCATCTTTTGTTTCTCTCTTTTTTTGTCTCTCTTTATCTCTCTCTCTCTCTCTCTCTCTTATTCATCACTCTTCTCTTTCTCTTTCTCTCTCTGTCTACCGGTTTGTTTGTCTGTCTGTCTATCGCTCTCCCCCACTGTGTTCGCCTTGCTCACTTTCTCCCTCCCCTCTTCTCTATTTATTGAGCTCCTTGTCAATTTATCGATCCATTACAAGAAAATGCACTTTTAGCTACCACTTTCTCTCTCTCTCATTCATTACTCTGTCTCTGTCTCTCTCTCTCACCACTCATCTCCTCTACCACCTTCACCACTACTGTAAATGTCATTCCACTACCACCACTGCTACCATTGTTGCCACTCCACCTCTACAAGTCCCATTACTACCACTTTACTACCACTACCACTACTATTGCCACTACTACTACCATTACTTCTTCTCCACCACCACCACTCCATCTCCTCTACCACTACCACAACTTTACTACTAATCTCCTTCGCCATCACCACCACCACCACCACCATCTCTTATCCACCACCTTCACTACTACTGCCACTACTACTACCATTACCTCTCCTTCACCCTTGCCACTTCATCTACTCTACCACTACCACAACTTCACCACTAATCTCCTTCGCCACCGCCGCCACCACCGCCTTCACTACTACTGCCACTACTACTACCATTACCTCTCATTCACCCTTGCCACTTCATCTACTCTACCACTACCACAACTTCACCACTAATCTCGGGCCGAAACCATTGAGTTGTGAATAAGAATTGTCTCATAATGTGGACATCAATAAGAGTTTGGCTTAGATTTGGACTTAGCCTTAGTTTAGACTGGGCCTAAACTTGTGCATGTGCATGTGTTGGGTTTGGTCTTGGACTTAAACTTTGACTTAATCTTAAGCTTGAGCTAAGTTAATTATGCCTATTTCTAAAAAATAAAAAATAATAATAATTTTTTTTTTCATTAAAATAAAAATGAAAAAAAAATTTCATTAACTAAAAAAAATAAATTCATTAACTGCCAAAAAAATATATATGTATATATATTTTAACAAAAAAAAATGAACTTTTCGTTTTCTCACAATTTCTATCTGAATTCCCCCATTCTTTCCTCCTTTTTGTTGCTCACGATCTCAAATCCCCAATCCCTAACCTAACACTCCCTCTCACTCTCCTTTCTTTTTATCTCTTTCGCCTACATTGTCGCCTCTGGTGCCGTCACCGGCGACCACCACTGCCGCCGCCACACCTCCTCCCTCACCACCCTCTATCTCGTCTCCTATTCTCTTCACTAATCTTTACCGGTCATCTACTTCGTCTTCTCCAATCTCGTCATCGGTTCCAAAACCCTAACCCTACCTTCGATTTTCTCCAATCCCTCCACAAGCCATATGTTCAAATCTAGACCCTACACTCCCTTCGACTGTTTCAGAACCTTTGTCTAAAAAAGACTACCATCGGACTCATCAGAACGGCGATCTTGAACGGGCTGATTGCGATGAGAAAGATCAGGCGGTGAGGCACATTAATGCGTCAGAAACAAAATAAAAAAATGGACAGTTCATCTTTACCGTAATTTTTCTCTCAATTTCAGTTCAAATGTAAGTATGATATAGTCGTCTTCAATGTAGGTTTCTTGGGTTACTAGTACTAGTCTTAACTATGCACTTTATGTGTTTGTTTAATTGACTGAATGGTGTGTTTGTTGGAACAATTTCTTGGTTGGAGACGAAGTTAACGAAGGAAGATGGCGAGGGGTGGGAGTGAGTGGGGATATAATGGGAGAGGGAAGTGGTGTTCATACAAGTGAACCACTCTCATCGTATGCTCAATCAACATTGGCGTTGCTCTCTATGTTCTTCATTCTTTGTACACTTTGCTTTACATTTATTCTTATAACGATTCACAAAACGGTAAGTGTTCTTGCAGCTCCATACGCCTAGTTTTTATTTGGATTTCTCCAACCCATTTCCTAATCAAGGCTTTTTCATATACCCAATTCCCTATTTATTAATATTATTTTATTTTTTTCTTCTAAAAGGAGTTTCTTGTATACAATTGTCAAGTACACCCCAGATCAGATTAGGAAAATGGAAGATTCAATTTGAATACGAAAAACATCCGAACCTGTAGAGCTAATTAAATTGGTAAGACCCATTTTAGGTTTCAGCGAATCTGTGTACCATGTTTTGCAATTTTTTCGATAAGTTTAATTAGATTGATAAAATATAGTGTAATGAGGAACATTTTGTTGTGATAAAAGGTAAAAGAAATTAAGAAGGAATTTTTAAGTGAACAAAGCCCTGTCGAATTGCCGCAGCACTTGAAACAAAAGATAACGGATGAGATCGTTAGAAGGTTGAGGGGCTTGAGAGCCGGTGCTAATGTGAGCGAGCAGCGAAGTCAGTGCATATTACTTAAACCAGTAACTTTACCAATTCTGTTCATTCTTTGCCTGCATTGTGATGTTAGTGTTAATTCATATTTGGTCTCTCTATTCTTTAGCCTGTTACAATTGTCTATACTATATCATCTTTTGCTACTTTAATTCTGCTTGGAAAGTTGCAATATAGAACAAGATTTTAAACATTGTCTCTTTTACACTTGGCTGCTTCTTGAAATAAAATGTGTTTATGGAAGTTTATGGGGACTTTAAGCCATGTTACTTTGAACCTTCTTGCTTATTCAACATTTACTGGCATTAGAGTTGATGCCAACAATGAATGTATTTTGTACAAGGTGGAAGTCTAATTCTGTTGTAAGTTTTAATAGTTTTTACTTAGTTTGATTAAGTGGTCAAATAGTCAAGTGCCCAAGAGTTTGTTGAGCTGTAAATTGTTAAAAGTTGTGGTAATGTTAAGCATATAGCAGTGAGTTATATAGTGGATGTATTTAACATTGGCAGTGCAACTTGATGAATGAGTGAAAGATTATAAACTGATTGTTTCCAATTAACTATCACATAGTTGGATCTTTTTTCTATTTTGTTTAAGGTTAAATTTAATTTTGACAGAAAACCTGCTTCTTTTGAAGCCTATTTGTATGATGGGAAACTCCTACAACTTTGGAAACCCATTTTTCTAGGACTTAAGAAGCATAGATGCGGACACAAGACGTGGATATATATAGTAATTTTCAAAAAATAAAGACACAACAATAGACAAAATATATGTTTTAGATAATAATAATAATAATAATAATAATAATAATAATAATAATAACAACATTTATTTGTTATATATATACATTTTATTATATAAAAACAATTAGAGAGATTTTTCCCCTATCCTGTATATTAGAAAAGAAGTGTTAATGGTTATCTTGAAATGCCCTAAACAAATTGGAAGTTGGGTGTAAGCATAGACGATCTCTAAACACTCCATATAGATAGAATAGGCAGGCTATGGCCTCTTAGGAATTTGAATATATGTATTAGTTAGAGTAATGTATAGCATTTTATTTTGTTAAGAACCCCACTTCGACAATCCCTGCCACCAACCAAAAGAAAGGTACCAACAAGAAAATAAAGAAAAAGGTAAGCATGATATGAGTAAAGAAAAAGGTGAGTGTCACGGCTCAAATCCGCCCCTATGGGTTTAGCACCGTAACCGGCTAGTAATCTGTGATTATCGAAGGCCTGCTTAACAGTAAAGACAGTAATATAGAGTACAGGGGCTGGTGGAAGCCAAAACAGTAATAAAAGATGTCCAATGAGCTGTGACAGTCTGTATGCAAAAAAACTTTTCATAACACATTCACATTGGAACCATAACAGTATATACATACATCATATATAGGTATTCAGGTTAGGGACCAAATCCCTACCATAACAGTACAATACAAATTTCATACAATCTATACAAAACAGAAACAGAAAGGGGAAAATCTAAAACACCCCAAAAAGCCCTAGCTTGAAGGACTTGGAACCTCTCAGTGAGGCACAGTGGTTGGCTTGACAAAAGGGAGTTAAACCCAACGCTCCTAGCTCTGATCCGGTGCCTGGTCACCTATATATATATATATAAACAGTAAGTTAAAGCCCAGTGAATAACATATGAGTAAAGGGGTTAGGAATGAATATCATTTTAGTATTTAAAATAGTCATTTGAACAGTATATCAGTTATTCGATCATAGCAGTCATAAGTGGTACATTCAATAGCAAAACAGTACAGTAGGTTTTAACAGACCGAACAGTCAGTTGATGGCCATCATATCAGTAAACAATAGTGGTTCCAAACATGGGAACCGACAGAGATCTCTGTGACAGTAGCAGTACAATACAGTAACAGTAAATTGCTATGAATGCCACGAATACAGTTCACAAATAGGATAATCATTCATTTAGTAAGAAATATCATTTCAGAAAACAGTACAGTTGATCATTCAGAAATCATTCATGATTGAATATATCTTTACAACATTGTTACTCACAGAGTTCTGGGCTATAGATAGGCTAGTGAGCGTCATCGGATGCCAACCCTACACAGTTACAGGATGAACACACACTAAGTTGCACGTTTGGGAAACAATAACTTAGTCCCCTTGACTCGGCGTAGTTCTATAGCATTATCCTCATTAAGATGCCTTAAACTAGGCCTAGGAATGCCTAGGATGGAATGAGGATGCAAAGAAGCACTTTAAAACACTTTTCAGAATTTTCAGAAAATAAGGGTCTCGCTCGAGCGTGGCTTCTACGCTCGAGCGGACATGCAGACAAAGGATCTCCGCTCGAGCGTGACTTTCCTCACTCGAGCGGACTGCAAAAGTACTGGATGCATGAAATTCACGCTCGACGGGCGCTCAACCCCCGCTCGAGCGTGAGACACGAGTCCTCGCTCGAGCGTGTATTCCCTCGCTCGAGCGGACTGTAAACAAGAGATCAACAAGTTGATTTTGTTCTGGACATGATATGAGTAAACTTAGAATTCGAGGTATTGACGCTCCAAAATCATCAAACGGCGTTGGATTAGCAAAAAATATGGCCACACACGACTGTCTAGGCACGAGAGACTTGTAGGAGATTTGGGAGTTAAAGGCGGATTTCACTCTAGACAAACTAGTTTATTAAGAAACTTAAAATTCGAGATGTTTAACATCCCAAAATCACCAATGGCGTCGGAGTAACATGAAACTTGGCACACACGACCGCCTAGGCACAAGAGACTTGTGGGAGAAGACGGTACTCGAATCGGGTTCCCGTTTGGGAGTTAGAGTCGGATTTCACTCTAAGCATAGAATTTGGGGTGTTGACGCCCACAAAATCACCAAACGACGTCGGATTAGCACGAAACTTGGCACACACGACTGCCTTGCACGAGAGACTTGTGGGAGAAGAGGGACTCGAATCGGGTTCCCGGTTGGGAGTTAGAGCCGGATTTCACTCTAGACAAACTAGTTGCTTAAGAAACTTAGAATTCGAGGTGTTAACGCCCCAAAATCACCAAACGGTGTCAGAGTAGTATCGAACCTTTTCAACACACAACAGCCTAGGCACGAGAGACTTGTGGGAGAAGACGGGACTCGAATCGAGTTTCAAGTTTGGGAGTTAGAGTCGGATTTCACTTAGACAAATTAGTTTTCTTAAAAAACTTGAAATTCGAGGTGTTAACAATCCCAAAATCACCAAACGGCGTCGAGGTAGCACGAAACTTGGCACCACATCTGACCACCTAGGCATGAGAGACTTGTGGGAGAAGACATGACTTGAATCGGGTTCCCCGGTTTGGGAGTTAGAGTCAGATTTCATCTCAGGCAAATTAGTTTATTAAAGAAACTTAAAATTCGAGGTATTGACGCCCCAGAATCACCAAACAGCGTCGGATTAGCACAAAACTTGTACATATAACTGCCTAGGAGAATGAGAGACTTTGGGAGATTGACCGGACTCGAATCGGGTTCTCGGTTTGGGAGTTAGAGCTGGATTTCACTCTAAACAAACTAGTTTCTGAAGAAACTTAGAATTCGAGGTGTTAAATGCCCAAAACCACCAAACGGCGTCGGAGTAGCACGAAACTTGGCACACACGACCGCCTAGGTACGAGAGACTTGTGGGAGAAGACGAGACTCGAATCGGGTTCTCGGTTTGGGAGTTAGAGCCGGATTTCCACTCTAGACAAACTAGTTTCTTAAGAAACTTAGGCCAAGTTTGGCATAACCTAAATAATACAAAAGTCAAAAAGTCACTATCCTATTTAAGTCACATCATCTTATTTAAATCACATCACCTCTCTAAACATCACAATCAAAACCCAACCATACCCAACCCATACCCAACCCATATAAGCCAATAAGTCAAAAAGTACACTTTTTTAGAAACTCCCAAACCAACCCTTAGAATTCTAGGTGTTAACGCCCAAAATCACCAAAACGAAGTCGGATTAGCACAAAACTGGGCACACATGACCACCTAGGCACGAGAGACTTGTGGGAGAAGGCAGGACTTGAATCGGATTTCCCAGTTTGGGAGTTAGAGTCGAATTTCATTCTAGAAAAACTAATTTCTTAAAAAACTTAGAATTCGAGGTGTTAACGCCCCAAAATCACAAACGGCGTTTGAGTAGAACGAAACTTGCACACACGACCACCATAGGCACGAGAGACTTGTAGGAGAAGATAGGAATCGAATCGGGTTCCTGGTTTGGGAGTTAGAGCCGGATTTCAACTCTAGGCATACCAATTCCTTAGAAACTTAGAATTCGAGGTGTTGACGGCCTAAAATCACCAAACGGTGTCGAATAGCATGAAACTTTGGCAACGACCGATAGACAGGCAACGAGAGACTTGTGGGAGAAGACGGAACTCGAATCGGGTTTTCGGTTGGGAGTTAGAGCTGGATTTTCACGCTAGACTAAAATAGTTCCTTAAGAAACCTTAGAATTCGAGGTGTTGACGCCCAAAATCACCAAACGGCATCGGATTAGCACGAAACTTGGCACACATTACCGCCTAGGCACGAGAGACTTGTGGGAGAGGACGAGACTCGAATCGCATTCTCGGTTTGGGAGTTAGAGTCGGATTTCAGTCTAGGCAAAATTATTTACTTAATTATCTTTTAATTGTATAGTAGTTAAATTTTTATATTTTTTTGTAATTAACATATTAAATACATAATTATATTTGTTACTAATTATTTTTTATTTTTTGTTTTCAGATATTTACTGAGTAGGAGTTTGCTTCTTGTGGAATACATGCTTGGTGAAAAGGCGACTAACTTTTGTTTTTGTTACCCACAGAAAAATGATGAGGAAAACTTTTAATTTTGGTTTACGTTATTTTGAATGATGAACAACTTTATGTATTTTAACATTATATATGTATTATGGAATATTATGTAGTGGGGCAATTTTGTTGATGTGTAGTTATGGATGAAAGAATGTTTTTATTATGGAGAAATTGTTATTTCTATACAGAAATTTTATATTATTATGCAAATTATTAGTTTCTTTTTCAATTGTTTTTCCATTTAATACAAGTAGTTTATATTTTTATAATTATATCGCAGTTTTTTTTTTTTTTTTTTTTGGCACCACACTGTTGCAAAAAAAAAAAAAGATGGTAATTTTAAATATTTTTAATAATTATATTGCAGTTTTTTTTTTTTTTTTTTTTTTTTTTGTTTTGTTTTGTTTTGTGACGGCACCAACACCGTCGCAAAAAAAAAAA